TATATATATATATTCATTTTCATTGAGGATGCGTGCTTCGACTCTGCCAGTTGATAGAACCAATCCGATCTAAGAGGGATACAGTAATCCAACAGAAAGAACGAGGTACTCAATAAAAAATCTCCCCACAAGAGAATCGAACTTGAGTCTTCTGCCTGCGACAGCGAAGAGCCTAACTGCTACACCATAAACTGCGGTAGTATTGAGCCATCGTTATTTTTAACATTTTTGCAACTGATTGTAAATTATGAGAAAAAGATAACGTAGTAAATGTACTGAAGTACACAGCGCGGACTATGATTAGGACGTGGTTTCTTCTGTATTTATCCTATCTCCCCATTGTGTGGGTACGTGTGCACGCACACGAAGACAATGCCAGACAACTGGATGTACGAGTAGGTGGGCTTTTATACACCCATTTCGTGGAAAGAGAAGAAATCAAATGAGGTAGTACTTGATGAAACCCACGTGGGACGCTCACTGTTAAAAACAATCAGGAAAAGACAAACGCAGTTTTTGGGACACCTGAATAGACTAAAAGGTCTTGGACATCTAGCTCTCACGGTAACGAGACAGGGGTAGGCCCAGAACAACCTACTTAGGGAACCCAAACAAATGGGTACCGGGGAAAGATAAGGGAAGCCTAACTTTTCCAAGAGCATCCAAGCAAAGAAACGAATAGAGAAAACCTTGAATTCAATTCCCGAGTGAAGAGATTGTTTTCTCGGTGTAAACATTCATAAAATAATAGTTATTACAGCAGATACGAGACTGAATTGCATTTTTTAAAATACTTGACATGTGAAACTCAAATATTTTAACATCAAATGTTTCAAAACTAAGTACTGTGTAGATAGAACTTGGTAATTCTTGGGTAGCGAAGTACTCAGTTACCGTGTTGCTATATTTAATCGTGTGTGTGAATGTTTCCCCAGTCCTGCACGTGCCACGCCTAAAACACGATGCGCAACAACAGCATCCCCCCCTCCCCTGAGAACATCGTGCATATGTCTTACGATGACGTGGCTCACGACCCCGAGAACCCCATAGATGGAAACCTCGTCAACGTTCCTGAAGGGCCGAACCTTTACCCCGGATGATGTGAAATGGACTACCAGGAGAAAGAAGTTACACCGGAAGTCTTCCTCAAAGTTCTCACTGGCGACCAGGAGGGCGTGAAGAACCTGATTGGTCGAGACGGTAAGGTGATTGCCAGCGGTCCTGACGACTACGTGTTCGTCTATATCATTAGTCATGAAGCTTCAGGGGTCTTCCTCTTTCCTTCTGATGAAAGGCTGCACAACACTGACCTGAACGACACCCTCAAACAGATGCACAGAGAAAACAGGTACAAGGAGATGATTCTTTACATGGAGACGTGCTACTCGGTGAGCATGTCCGAGGGTATACTCCCAAAAGACATAAATATCTACGTCACCACGTCCGCCAATGCCTACGAGCCTGCAAGAATGTGCTGTTGGGATGAAATCCGTCAAAACTACGTAGGAGGTAATTACGATAACGTCTGGATGTACAACAGAGACAAGGCGAATCTCCACAAGGAAACACTATGCCAGCAGTACGAAGTGGTGAAAAAAGCCTGCAAACACAACTAGATACGCGAGCCATCCCCAGCGGTACGGAGACCGGAGCATGAACAAGGAAGTCTTCGCTAAGTACCAGGCAGAATCAGGGGGGTACACACCCGGCGTCTGTCATAACACACACGACACATATGAGCACACTTGTGGGTCAGAGTTCACTTACGCCGGAATTGACCTTTAAAAAAACCGCCCTTGACATGGTTCCGATCGCCACCACAGCCCGTCGCCTCATCGAATCTAGTGATCTCAGTGGTCACAGGCAGGAAGAGCTCGAGGCCGAATTACGTCATATGATGCTGGTCAAGGAAAAAGCCGAGTCGCTGATGAAAGACCTGGTCAAGTCAGCCTTGTCCAGCCCCAGACGTGTGACAGAGTCCCACATACTGACTGGCAAAGAGCGGGTGGACAACTCTGCGTGCCACAAGGCCGCCCTAAGCCTCTTCTCTGCCCGATGTCCAAGCATCGACATGGGGAGGTATTCATTCATCTGGAGAAATCTGCAGGCCGTTATCAACCTCTGCAACCGCCTGCCCCAAACTGACGCCACGAACGCCATCATGGAGGTCACGGAGAAGTGCGGAATTTGCCGAGCTCTGTATTTCCGGCGGATCATCAGTTTGTCCTAAGTTTCCAACCGTCCCCCCCCCCTCTCATTTCTACTTGTTTATCCGATGTCTTAATGTGTTTGTAGATTGTGTTATCCTCCATTTTATTTATAAAAATGTTTAACTAACATGATGTCTTGGTTTGTATTCTTTCGGTCCTTTTCTTACACCGTACATGATATAGACAGCTCA